GCGCCGCGGGTCACCCCCCTGGGTGGGGGTCAGGGGTTGGTGGGGGGGTTCTGCACGGGACACTTGGTTTTACTGGGGGGGGGGGCAAAAAAAAGGGGGGAGGTCGGGGGGGGGGCGGGGGGGGGGGTGGGGCGTATGCCTTAGCCGTAGCTGTTAGACCATTGTCCGCGCGTTCTCGAAAGGACGGAGCAGGGGGGATACTCTTATGTTTTGCATGCCTTAGCGTTTAGACCATTTGTGTTTGTATGCCGTGTTCTTTTTTGTCTGTTGCGCTGACGCGTGTGGTATCACTCTCCGCAACGCGATTCCGTCAAGGTTTGGTAGTATCACAAATCGTGACAGAAGCAGCTTTTTGCTAACGTGATGCGTGGTATGCCGGTGTTGAGATGGTACTGCTGTGATGACGATGCGAGGTGATGGTGGAAACCGTGTTGTTGCGATACAAGTGTTGATCAAGCGGCCGTCAGTACGGAGACGATGCTGCCCACCCCATCAGCGACGCGCCATCATTTCATGGTCGAGCTAAACAGCAATAAACGTCCCTTCGGTTGCAGTGGCAGCGGAGGTGCGATGGTGGGGCGTCCGATAATGGCCGCCTTATCTGGGGGTAGCCGCCTTATCCAATGTGAAGAACACCTTGATTATCCCGTCTATTTCAGCCAAATTCAACCCGCCTGATGTACGGGAGTCGACCGCGTCAAGTGTTCGATTGGTACGGACAGGTGAAGGTACTGGATGTAAGAGGATGGGAGCTTTTATTTTTTATTTTTTTCAAGACAACAGCAACATATTTGGCGACCGCGTTATTCTGGGACACCCGCTGTACTAAAACGTCATCTCGAACGGGCTGTATTTCTGTGATTTGCATGATGTGTACGTTATGTACCCATATACCTATTTCCCTTGATGGTGGTGACGACCACGTGAATGCAGGATGATGCTGTCGGACACCAAGCTGCTCAAGAAGCTAAAGGAGAGCCTGGCGAAGATGGCAGGCCCGCTGCAGGAAGACGCGAGAATATTCCAGAACAAGATCACGGAGGCTAGCGAGAGGTTGGAGGTATGCATTCAAGCATTTGTTTTATTTCGTTTGTTGGAGAGATTCTGCGACTGGCTGTGTCGTTTGCCTCGCTGGAATTATTCGGTTGCATCGAAGGCACGTTTTCAGAATGTCAACAAATGCTCGGCGGGGTGAGACAGCCGGCACATGCACGTTGATATGCCCGTGGAACGCAGGAGGCGACGAGGGAGAGGACGAGCCTGTCGAGCGAGCTGCTGAGGCTAAAGGAAGACATCGAGGCCCTGGGACAGCGCAAGAAACTCGTCGCGGATCAGGTACTACAGTACCAAGATGAAAACACATGATGTTTATATATTTTTTATATCATCGTTGCAGTGGGGAAGCGTCTTCAAGGTCTCTCCCCCACCCCCCCACCCCCCCACCCGCCTCCCCTATATTGGTGAAATCACGGGGTACCATGGTTGTGAGAAAATCACCGTCTTTGACGCGGGGGGGTTGGCTTTAACCAAGCGTCTTGGAAGCGGGGACACGACTGCTGTGTTGTAAGGAGGCAGCCCTATTTTTCCGGAGCTATTCCCCAGTCTCGCAGACTTGGGGAACGAACGCACTGCTGTTTACGTTACTCTCCTCGATGAAGTGCTCCTCTCAACGCTCGAATGCCGTTCATTGTGTTTTCGGAACGGTTTTTTGTTTTTGTCGGTTCTCTAACCCTCCCTGCCAATTCCCCACCCCACCCCCCTTCCATCGTTATTTTCTGTTCTGTGTGTCTCTGGTGACGACACAACAAGATGCACTTGCTGCTGGTGCAGTTCGAGCGCGACTCGGCCGTCTACACCCCAGAACAACCAGCCGGCGACAGCAGCAGCAGACAAGGAGACCAGGTCGGTGGGGGCGACGTCGGCGAGGTGGCGGTCGTCAGCTTGTCCCCCACCTCTTCAACAGCGGGTTCCGCGGGCGGTTTCGTCCGGGAGTTCAACGACGATGGAGGCGTTGGCGAGGGCGGGGTTGAGGGCGACGTCGTCAGTTTCTTCAGCGGCGGCGGCGGCGGCGGGGGTGTCGTGGACATCAATGGCGGTACCGCGGCCACCACCAGTAGCAGCGGTGGTGGCGGCGGCGGCGGCGGCGATGAGAACGGTACTACCGGAGGAGGCATTGTCATTGAGCCAATGGACGATGGCCGGGCTGTTGGTGAACACGACTTTGCTGCTTCTGCTTCTGCTGCTTCTGCTTCTGCTGAGGCTGCTTCTGCTGCTGGTGCTGCGGCTGCTGCTGTGTCGGGGGGCGGCACCAGCGAAGGGGAGCACACTACCGGCCGCAACAACAACAACAACAACGATTCCGACGATGATCGGTGCAGCAGCAGCATCCGTAGCCGCAGCAGCAGCAGCAGCGGCAGCGGCAGCGGCTGCTGCGAAGGCGACAGCATCGACGACGACGGGCCGCTGGACGGAAGGACGCACCAGCAAGAGCACGCTCTTGGCCTTCCGGGGGCACCAGCTGCAGCAGCGGCCGGTGCAGGCGCTGACGGAACGCCTTTCACTGCTATTGCCTCCAAGCATGAAGACCCCGGGGACGCATCATCGGGGTGCCCGGCTGCGATAACGCTTCCGAGAGGTCCGCTCGGCGGCAAGAATACGGAGATGGTGAGGTTCGGTCCGAGTGAGGGTATCTGTATCGGAGATGGTGTGGTGTAGATTCTGTGTGCGCATCGGTCGGCCTAGAGGTGCCAGTAGGAATACTAAGTAGGTTACTGCGTGCGTTCGCTTTTCGTGTCTGGATGTTCAGCTGCCGGTTTCTGCCTGTTTTTGCGAAAGAGGGTTCTGCTTTCGGAAGCAGACTTCCATGCAACATCACTCCGTCTTCCTTTTGTGCCGTATCGAAAGAAACAAGACGAAATCGCCCGCCCCGCCCCTCCCCTCGCTACCATCTACCTGCTGGCGTGACCAATCCCCCCTTTCCACCTGGGACCTGCCTCGACAAACTTACCACGAAGATATGGAACGCCGAGAGCGACCACTCTTTCTTGCAGCACCTGCCGCCTCCGCCATCCTGGAAACCCGAGAGCATCGTGGTGTCCGCTCTCGGAGAGGAGGGGACGGGGACGGCGGAGCTTAGCCCTCCACCCCCGTCACGAAGCAGCGGCAGCGGCAACTGCAGCAGAGCCGTTGGACGAGCGGGCGGCGATTTGATCAGCTCCAAGCCACTAACCCCCCGTATCGTGGCAGTATCCCCGAGGCCCGGTCGGTCGTTCTCCCCGCCCTCTTCCCCCAAAGGAGGCGCTTCTATGGGAGAAGGACCCCAAGAAGCTGGTAGCGGGGCTGGGGGGAGACTCAGCGGGGCCCCCCGCGGCGACGATGATGGCACCGCTCGGGGTTTCGGCAAGGCCGCGGGCGGCGACGGATCGGGCGCGGAAGAGAAAGACACCGCTTGGAGACGCCTTGCGAAGTGGGTCGGCAGCAGCAGCGGCAGCACCGGCGGCGGCGGCGGCGGTGGAACCTCCGCAGCTGCCGCCAAGCTGGCCGCGGTGGCAAGCGCTGGGTCGTCGATGTCCTACTCGAGGTGGTTCGCGGGATCGAAGCTTTCGCCGGGGTCGGAACAATCGGGGGCGTCCTTGTCTCCAACACCGTGGTCCCGCCGGAGAGGTACATACGTTTTATTTATTTGTTTTTATTTTTGTCACAGCGCTCACACACGCAGCATTGCTTCCGTGTAGGAGCTGGCTCCGTGGCCACAACAGAAGGGTTCCTCTCCGTGAGATCCCCAACCCATCGCCCCTCCTGCGGTGTGTGTGCTTGTGTGTAGTATTGATTAACATCGACCGCGTTATATAAATAGTGGACTGGCTAATCAAAACATGCCAGTGATAGGATTCCTACCGATAGTAGTGTGTGTGTGTTTTTGTCGTTGGCATCGACGGCGTTATTTAGTCTACGGGCCAACGAAGTGACGCCAATCTCAGTGTGGCTCAAAACATAAAATGCTTCTATAAAGGCCATGTGCGTGTGTCATTCCTTTCTTTTTGCGTCGACCGCGCTAAGCTGCTAAAGGCCACTATCTCTGGAACCCCGTGCGTGTGTGCAATCGTCCGTCAGGCAAGAAAGAGCGGCCGACTCCCACCCTCATGGAAGAGCTGTACCAAGACCTTGCGCAGCTGCGGGCCCGGCTTGAGGAGGTGCAGGCCGGCATTGATGACAAGTCCGACATGTACGCGACGCTCCACCACAGGTGAAATGAACTTTCGACGTCGCAAGAACACCGGGAGTGCGTGCGAAAAGAGGAAGGCGTTCTCCGACATGCAAGCGACGCTCTAGCGCACAGGCTTTGAATGGACGTCGTCAAGTTTCGACGCAATAGTATCATGGGTACGATAAATACTGCTGCGAACAGAGGGGGCCGTTCGCCGACATGCTACGCCACGCTCTACCGCAGGCAATGAATGAATGTCGTCAAGTGTCCACGCAAGACTATCATGGGTACAGTAAATAGAGGGGATTGTTCTCCGACATGTAGCCGGCTCTACCACAGGGAATGAATGAACTTCGTCAAGTTTCGACGACTCATTTCCAAGTACCGCTCGATTGCGCACTCGAGACAGAAGAATGGCGCTACGATGAGTACTGTGTGAAAAGCGGGAAGCCTTCTCTTGGGAAGTGAGGAAAGCGTCCTCTCTCCGAAAATTGCGAATCGTGCTCTTCCGATTAGCACTAGGAGTACTTTCCCCCCCCCTGTATCCTTAAATGCTGGACCGGCCGCTGTACTGTTGTCCTCTGTGCCGTGCCATGGGGCTGTTCTGCTTTCCGTCTTTTTATCGGTAGCAGTCATCGTTGCCAGCGTTTTTGTTGAAGCCATTTGTTTGTTGTTTTTGCCAAATCTCGGGGTGTTGTTGTTGTTGTTGTTGTTGTTGTTATTGTTGTGTTGTTGTTTTTGCAACACCAGTCAGCGTCACCCGCGAGCGTCGACAAGCAGGAGGCCGAAGATGTGTTCTGCCACGTCCTACTACAGTACATCTGATAAGGCTACGCCGCCCCCAATATACCACAATGAAAAAAAAACACAACTAGAACGCGAATAAATTTCATGAACAACAGAATACGTTGAGTTGGACATTGTTAGAACGCCCCCTTCTTATTATTGGCCCTTGCCGTCGGCCCGCACCATTTTTCTCCGTCTCTGATTTTTGTCTGGCTCACTCTTGTCGCCACAAGCTACACACGCGGGCTTTGACGGAGGCCGAAAATTGCCAAGCAAATTACAAGATTTAGATATAACACCAAATTGTTACCTTTTTTTTGACTCGCGCCAATTTTCTCCGTCTCTGATTTTGGCTGGCTCACACCTTTCCATTTCTCCCGCCGTGCTACTACTCGCTCTTGTCGTGACAAGCTACTCGCCGGTGCTGACGGATGCCGGAAAGTGCCAAAAAAACAAACAAGATTTAGATACATTAGCATAACACGCACGTTTTTAGAAAGTAAACATACCCTTACAGAAAGACTACCCGTTTGCGTGTTGACTATTTTTTTGCGCTCACCATTTTTCTCCGTCGCTGCCTACTCACGTCCTGTCGTGGCACAAGCTACACGAGGGTGCTGACGGAGGCCGAGGAAGCCGAGGAGCTCAAGCGCGCCCTCTCCTCCCAGATGATACAGCTCCTCTTCGAGCAGGAGCAACGCCTCGAGGGGTACCTAAGGGAGTGGATAACCTTCGACGGCGGAGCCGGCCCTGGTCTCCTCGCGGCGGCGGCGGGGGATACTGGTGGTACCTCCCCCGGCGCGGCGTGTGGAAACGGCGGCACTACCGATCGGGGACCCGGCGGGGTGGTAGGCTGCAACGGCGACGTCACCGCAGCTGTAGCAGTTTCGACCGCGACCGGCGCGGGGGGTTCGGGGGGGGGGGGTGGAGTTGATTCATCCCCGGGAGGGGAGGCGTCCCCTGGTGCTGTGTCGACAAGGGCGTCGGGTGTCGGCGTCGGTGGTCCGAGCGTTGACGGCGGAGTCGGTGGTGGCGATAATCATGACGATGATGGTGACGATGGCGGCTTCGAGAAGGTTGACGCGTGGATGGCAGACGGGGACAGAGAGGGGGCCCCGCAGACGGGGAGGGAGGGGTGCATCGGCAAGGACGCCGCGCCAGGGCTCGTTCCTCGAGACGCTCGCTTAGTGGACACGACATAGCTGAATCCGTGAGACGCGCTACGTGGGGGGGATGGGAGAAATACATTACGCGGTGTATGATGGTGGCGATTGCTACTGGTGTGGTACTTTTCTTCAGTTTTTTTTTGTAGAAGTGGTCTCTTGTGCGTGTTTTATTGTTGCTTGTTTTGCGTTTTAGAGCCGATCGCCGGGGTTGGACTGCCCACTTTTGAGGCTGGACCCCTGACGATCTCATTTTGTTCGTTCGATTATTATTTTTGCTTGAAGTGGCTTGGTTCCGGCGGAGACTCGTTCTTACTCTCATCCCTATTTTTTCCGAAGCAAGCGGCGGTGTTGTGCCGAACAAGGGTCCCATGGTCGGCCGCGAATTTGCGCAGCACATGTTGGTGTGCGTTTGGTTGCTTTTTTCATCGTTTCTCTTGTTTTTGATGCAGAGGACCGTTGATGTCGGCCCGTCATTGATGAACGATCAGTCAGGCGGCTGCAGGTGGCCATGAGACACCCCACTCCGTTAAAGTTGTTTGGCAAACGTTTAGAACCTGTTACAACCCGTTTCATAGGTTTTGGTACGTTTTCGCCCGCGCCCTAGTTCTTCAATACAAAGAGAGAGTAGTACTATATAGTAGTTTTTTTGGGGCGGTTAGAGTCCTAGCAGACCTACCATCAGGTGCCGTTTTTGTAGTAGTGCTGTGGGCAGGGGGCTCAGGTATGTTCCGTTTGTGAATGGGTTCCTATACGTGACCTGCTGCTGATGCCATGGGTGCAGACCTCTGCTGCTACCAGCCGATTCATTGAATCGCATGCAGGAGGACATGCGATGCCGTGAGGGCGCCGACGTTTGTTTAGCCGTACCCCGAAAGCAGAAGAAATAGTAGTAGTCGTGTTACCTTTCGTTGTGTTGGGCCGAAGCGGCACTTGGGACGTCGACCCGCGTGTTGAGTGAAAGTGCTCCGGGTGTGGTGTGAATTAGACGAGAAATCACGTCCAAGAGCCGGTATTGGCTAGCGTTTTGATGTGTGGTACTCGAGATAAAGCCGGGAGGGGGGCTTGGACATAGTCGCTGAAACTCGATTGAGCGCATGCATAGGACCACGCATTCCCTTATAGAAGAACCTCTGAAAAATTGTCGGCTACTCGTTGTAGAGACGCCCATCTTTTGCCACATTTTGCACAATGGTGGAAGGGCGGGCAGGTACTACTTCAGTTTATTTGCTTGTGGGCCTTTCTTGCCTTCCGTGTAGGTCATTTTTCCACCCTGTGGTTCTCCCGCGTAATTTTATTGTTGCTTCCTTCGGTTTTGTGTGCTGCTGCATCCATCACCTGCTTAAGTTTTTGCGTGAGACCCGTGACGGTATTTTCTACTTCGTACCTCGTAGTGGAAATAAACACCGGGGACGCACAAGGTGGGCTGCTATGCATACCTCCGTTGAAAAAAGCGGGTTTTTAGGGGGAGGCGGGGGGCTGACTCTGCGTTCTTGGGCGACTACAAGCCCATAGCTCTTGATGATATCGCCCGTTTATTCTGTTGGTCAACTTAGGTGCCGGGTATTAGGAGAGTAGAAAAACATTTTGTTTTGACTTGCCGGCCAAGTTCCACGTGTGTGCAGGAATTTTTTGCCCACTACCACCCGAAGCATGGGAAGTAAAATGTGTTTGTTTTCGTATGTGAAGAGCAGTAGGCGTGATTGTTGGGTTGTGTGGGGCTGATCAGGGAATCGATCTGATGTGGGAAGCTATCGGAGTGAGTTTGTTTGTGGTGTTTCTTCTTGTGGCCTTGCCGTGGGAATTGTCAATGTTGGTCGTGGAAGAGGGTTCATTCCTATTTCTTTGTTGGAGGCCCACTCGCTACCTTTTAACCCCCCAGCGCTTTCTTCCTGCTAAGCAAGCCGTTTTTTTTGTGTCCCGTGCGTATTTTTAGGGGGGAGTAGAGGCTTCCAGAAGGAAATATATTGTTGTGAAAAAGTTTTCAGATTTGACGGCGTTTTTCTGACACCTTTGGCGGCAGTACAGTACAAGTGTTGTGTCGGAAGGAAATTTCGTGGTGACGCCGTGAGGCGCTAGAGAAAGACCACGGGTCCCGGCAGAGGGAAGTAGCGAGGGGGGTAGGGTGCTTTTCGTTTTCCAACCGGGGGGTGTTTCAGTTGTTTATACATACACGGAGGATACAAGAACCAAACGTATTGTTAATTATTTCGGCTAGCTTTATCAAGTGTTTCTTAGTTTTTGGGCGGAGAACACAGCCTTCTGGTAAAAAAAAAATAGTCTCCTCCACTTAGTGGGTGGAAATATTTGCACCGGCTGAGCGGTATTTTGCTGCTGAGCGGTATTTGGAAGCTTCCTGCCCCTCATGCATTATTTGGACCTCCTTGTGTTTTCATCCTTCCAAAATCTAACCTTCTTTTCTTGCAGGCTTCGACCTGTCATTCTCGGTAAAAGAAGGAAAGAGAATGTAGTGTAGATAGACTCGTGCTGAGCATGTTTGAGGAGCGTACGTACTTCATTCGACCAGCCCTTCTTTCACGGTGTATCACTGGTCAGCTGTAGTGTCGAATGGCCCCCACCCGAATGGCGTGTTTCGCTGATGATCAGTAGTACTGGTATGTCAACTACCCGACGTGGTACGTATGTCCTTGATTTATTAGGAGTTTAACCGAAAAACTCTATCTCTTGGCTGTAGTACAGAACGCGCCAGGTACTGACACTATTGGGATCCCACGTGGGACGTCCCATGGGACACGTGGGCCGGCCCATGGGACACGCGGGCCATCCCATGGGACGGGTGGCATATCCCTCGTGTCC